CCACGTAGTTGACTGCGGTTTGCGTCCCGGACCCAGTGGCTTAAACTCACGCCAGGTGCGTGTGCATACGTGCCCAAGATCCCAAGAGGAGAATGGAGGAGAAGGGATTGCGGCGTGACCATCCCCCCTGGGGGGTGATTTCTCGCTTTCTGTCTCTCTGTCTCTGTCTGTCTGGTGAGCGCACGTGCCCTATAGCGAAAACCTCTCAAAAAAAAATATATATATACTATTCAAGTAAAACTTCAACTATTTCTCTGTTTCTATATGATGCTGTTTTTCCATGTGTATGGGTGGCATACTTTTCTTGGCAAAAATATGTATTAGTGTATCCTGCCTTATAAGCTCCCTTTTTCTTACACCATGGAGGCTTTTCTCCTTCAATACATTTTGAAATTTTCTTTTTCTTTTTTTTTTTTGAGAGATTTTCACTGTAGGGCGCGTGCGCTCGCCAGACAGACAGAGAGAGACATAGAGACAGAAAGCGAGAAATCACCCCCCAGGGGGGATGGTCACGCCGCAATCCCTTCTCCTCCATTCTCCTCTTGGGATCTTAGGCACGCACGCACACGCGCCCGGCATGAGTTTTAAGCCACCGGGTCCGGGACACGAACCACGGTCGACTACGTGGGAGTCCAGCGACATAGCCATTACGCTAACTGCTGGTTCCCGAAATTTTCTTGTGAAAATGATTTTTATGGGTGCAGAGTACTTTATTGTATTATTATACTCAGAAATGCTTAGCTATTAATAACTTCATATTTGTTAACACATTGGGTCTTTGGTTTACATTATAAATAAAATTACACGTTTGTGTTTATCTGTGATGGGTTTTTAGAAACAACTGAGTTGTCAGAAAAGTCATGACATGTTTTTCTATGCAAAAATGTGTCATGACTTTTCCAACAACTCAATTTTTGGTTAAAAGATCTAAGGAATAGATAGATGACAGACAGGTAGCTGGACATACAGACAGGTAGACAGACAGACAGACCTGTACCAATAGATGAGTGCCAGTTTTAGGGCTTTCTTTTTTTTTTTTTTTTTTTTACTTTTTTTCCACTTTGGGGTACTTTTTGAAGGCAATGGGGAAAAAAAGAATATTTCAATTTTTATAGCTTTTCATAAGGAGGGGCCCCATAGCACATTGTTGTGGAGGGAGCCTGATCCCACATGACTGGCTATGGTTCAAATCCTAGTCCTGGTAGCAGAGCATGAAAAACACATTGAGTGCAGGTACACGTGTCCAAGATCCTGATCAAATGGAGAAATGGAAAAAAGGCCTGACCAAACCCTTTTGGAGGGTTCTTTCTCTGTTTTTCTCTTTCTCCTTATCTCTCTGTCACAAGCACATATCCTCTGGCATCAAAAAAAAAAAAAAATAGCCTTTCATAAATTACTTTAGGATCAAGATACATGCCCAGGATAAGACCATGATATCCCTAAAGTTAAAAACCAGGGAATCATTTTGATTCCTCTGTCTTGTGGCTTGACGCTCAGTGACTCACCAAGTCCTGTCCATATTACCTTCACAGTGTCCCTACACCTCTTTTCCCTCTGCCCATCTGGCACCGTTGTGCGTCAGGTGACAGGTTTGCCCTCCTGAGTTATCCAGAGTGTTCTGTGGACTCATTGACTCTGACCTTTCCTTTCAATCTAACGTTTCCCAATGTACTTTCCAAGGAACCCTGATCCTATGAGACTCATGATAAAGGGGTTTCATGTCAAACAGGATTATGAAATCCAGTTTATTCACCTTCCTCTTGGAGATACATCAAACACATCAATTTTTCAGGTGTTCTGGAAAGTTTTACAGCTAACAAAAACAAAGTCGATAACAAAAATATTATTTTATTTGTTTGGGCCTCAAATGTACTAACCTTAGCACAATCATGCATTCAACAAATTTTTGTTGCATGATTATTATTTGTGATGGTTATGCTTGTGAGTGTGTAGATGTTATGTATGTGAGAGTGTAAATGTGTGTGTGAGAGAGAGAGAGAAAGAAAAAGAAAAGCACTTTTTAATAATCACTGTAACTGTGTTTCAAAAAAATATCTTGGGAAAATACTTTTAAGCTGATTTTTTCACACAGTTTAGTTTTTTGTTAGTTTTTTCCTTTTCCTTTTTTTTTTATTTTTTTTTTTTTACAGAGGCACATGTGCTTGCCAGACAGGAACAGAGAGACATGGAGACAATGAGGAAGAAAGTACCCTACAATGGGCATAGTAATGCCATGCCACTATCCCTTCTCCTCCATTTCTCCATCTTGTTTGGATTTGGACATGCATACACACATTCTCAGTATATTCTTCAAGTCTTTAAAACCATGATCCAAATTGTGGTCAATCATATAGGCAAAAATAGAATTATATATGCCTTTTCATTGTTCTTTAGTATAGTACAATTTCTAAGCCTTTATGACAACATTCAGTATCCTTTCCAGTTTGGCCTAATCTTAGTTATTGTGCTGTTGCTCTCATGCATCACTGGGGCATCTGAGCATAACGAAGGATTTTCTTTCATCTAACTGTGCCATACTTTCTCTGCATTTCATCTCTTGACTTCTGCTATCTCTTCTGTTTGCCTTCTCCAGTGATGATATTTTTATCTGCTCTAATATAAAAAATCTCGCAAAATTGTGCTCATGCCCATCTTCTCCAGTGTTCACTTCTTTCTTTCTTTTCTTTTTCTCTTTTTTTTTTTTAGATTTCGCCACTTAGCACATGTGCTCACTGGAGAGACACAGAGACAGAAAGTGAGAAATCATCCCCTGGGAAGATGGCCATATGACAATTCCTTCTCCTACATTTCCTCCTGGGATTTAGGGCATTCAAACACACATGCCCAGCATGATTTTCAAGCCTCCAGGTCTGGAATTCAGACCTCATTTGGTCATGCAGTAGTCAAGCACTTTAACCACCGTATTACCTGCTAGCCCCACGTAAAGCAATTTTTAATGCTCCAGGAAAAACAGCTCTCTCTACTTTTAACACCCTTCAAGGAAGGCAGGCAAGCAATTTCCATCCTCGTGTTATAGATGAGGAAACGGAGATGTTTGCTAAAAGGATAATAAACTAATGGAAAATAAGCCAGTTCTTGTGTGTGCCTAGTTGTGGGTTTCCTGCACACTAGATAGTCTTAGCTAACCATCTAATTACATTTTAAGAAGATAAGAGGTTAGAGAATGGAGAAGGGGAAGAGAGAGAGAGAGAATCTCAGGACTTCTGGGATCTCAAAGGTGTTGAAAGCTTTGCTTAGACATAAGAGGCCTGATCAAAATCGCAAGTTTGTTTATGGTCATCAGAATTGCACCTGTTACTTTCAGTTCACATTTTCAGGGCTTGAGTTTAGTTGACATGGAGACTTACATTAACACAAGAACTAGGACAGAAAAAAAAAAATGAGAGAAAACCAGTTAATCAGTAAATATTAAACTCTTAGAAATGTGTTGGTTGGAATTATAATTTGTGAGGTGAGATTAGTTGCAGCTCATTATCCAAGTAACTGTTGAGCTTATGGGTCCCCAAATTAGATGTTGACTGATTTATTTGAGCTGGCTGTTAAAATTTCCAAGTTCTGGCAAACTTCGGGGATCTTTGGGTGAGCATAATAGATTCTATTATTAAAACCCTACATTTTTATTAACTTGTAGCATTTTAGGGAACCATTTTATACTTTCTGCTTATTTGTGAAAATTTCTTCCACTGTATCATATTATATAGATTTGAGAACTAAAACTCAGACATAGTAAATGATTCTACAAAGTTGACAGAAATAGGAAGGCCAGTGTGAGGACTTGAACACATACATTCTGAATTCTAGTAATGCTAAGAGAGCTTTTGCGGCATAGAGTAACTTAAGGAGATCTTGAGCCAGTGACTATTACTCAGTTTTTAGGACTGTTAGGTATTGTGGGAACAGGAGAGAGGAGTAGAAGAAGGAGTGAAGCCCTGCAGACATGCCATTATGGTCAGAGGACAGGAGCCAGTGTTCACCCCAACTTGCTTTCCTCCCTAGGCCTTATCTACCATCTGGAATGAGGGTACTACCTGTGTTATCTGAGCAATTGTCTAATCTCTTTCAGCACCTGATGCTAAGATAGATTTGGCTAAAACTCATTGGGGGAACTGTTTGAGGTAAGACTATGACTATATTATTAACTATGGGTAGCTGATTTTTTTTTAATGATGTATATTCTCCATTGTAACTGAGAAGGTTGTAATAAGCGTTCATTATCTTAACTGCTGATTTTATAAACATTTATTGAAAGATAGGTACTAACTTATCTGAATGATCCTGGAACTCTTCAATAGGTAATAAAAGTGACAGGTATGTCTTCTTAGAAACAAACACCTATATACACACACACATTTCCACTTATGGGGAAGGTGTGGCATTTAATATATTCAAATACCTCTGAAGACTAAGCATTTTCCTTCTAGGAAACAATAATCCTCAGGTTAAAGAAGTCTAGAGTAGAGTATCGTTAATGTGAATTAATGTTTATTACACTCTTAAAATATTCAGGGCAGTTCCATTGACTGTTGTCAACTCATATGAGTGCCACTCCTTGTCAATCTCCTTTGCATTGTAGAAGAGAAACCAAACTACATTTTGTAGAACCTTCTTACCTAGTGTGGTTCTAGGTTAAAGTTTGATTCAAACATGGCATGATCTATGTGACAGTATTCCATGAACCAAATGTTGCTCTAAATGTTGGAGACAAAAGGTTGTAACACGGAGACCCCATCTTTAACCAAAATAAACCGCATGTGTCCTTAAGCAAAAAAAAAAAAAAAAAAGAAGAAGAAGAAAGAAAAGAAAAAAAAATACACTGCTTGACACCAAGGTTTTCAAATTCGGATTTATTAATATCTAAATCCTTTCAATTCATGTTCTCAGGAGATAAACAGGGCAGGTTTTATTGCCCCCAATTTGCAGGAAAAAAAAAAAAAAAACAATGAAGAGTCGAACAGAAGTTATTTCTCTCAGGACGGGCTGCTCCGAATAACAGAGCAAGAATTGAACTCATGTCTCCAGGGTCTAAGGGAATAGCTCCTTGGTTTCTTTGGTCCACAGCAGTAAAGGGACTCTGCACTGCCCAGCTGAACCTGTAAGGATTGATACTCACGTGAGAGAATCAAGAGGAAGACAGACTGAATTCTAACCAGGCGGTGGTGGAGGTGGGGATATGGAGGGAGGGAAAAAAGAAAGACAGGTGTGTGGAAGCGCAGAGCTGCCAGTAAGGTGAGAAGAGACGTTTCCCCAAGGATAGAGGGAAGGAAGGTTAAAGGCATATTGATCTTGAGTGGGAAAACATTCTCCTGACTTTTCATCCTGCTTTCAGATCATCTGGCATCAAAAAAGAGTCTGTTACTGAGCTCAGCTTTGGAGATGGAGCAAAAGATACAACAGACGAACAACCATTTGCTGACATGGAGGGCACCAAAGTGGTTTTTGATGATATGAGCTAAGCTGCAAGGTAGAGGCGATGTGGAACCTGATAAAACATGAGCGTGATAGACAGGCAGCAGCCAAGCACATATGTCTTCTCAAAAAATGATCCATTTCCTGACCCGAGATGGAGCTGGCTGTCTTTTCAAAAGAAGTTGCAAAACCGCCCAGGTCAAACTCACAGGGGAAACAGAGCATGTTACAATTTTCAAGGTGCCTCCCCAACAATTACCTTGTAGGGTTCTCAAAGCTACCCTGTGAGAGTAGGAGGGGCTCTGTTTATTAGTCTCGTTTTACAGATAATGAAACTGAGGATGAGAAAAGACAAGGACACAGGGCCACAGAGGTGGTGGGAGAGGTAGGAGCAGATCGTGGCTTCCCTGTAATTGCCTGATTATCTTCGCACCAAAGCACATTATATCTGTCCAAATTGACTTCTCACAAAACCGCGTTGATAGTGTCCCTGTATGAATATATATGAACATATCTATCAATCTAACTCAATTATATATTCATGCGTCTTCATTTCTCATTCATCTTTATAATCTATCACCTGTGATCGATTCTCATTACCTATTAACATTTTTATAATTACCTGTATCAATGTAGCTATAAATTATCTATCTAATGTACTTTCTGATTGGTTATCTTTACACAGATAGGCTGACACATGTGTTATATGTGTAATTAATTACACAATGGAAGAAAGCACAGGAACATTGAAAACATCAGCACATAATTGTCACCTTGTGTTTTTTTTTTTTTTTTGCACTGTCTTGCTGATTTACTTAACATTTTAGAGCCGCAGTTTTCTGCCTTGCCAACCATAGATAGAACACCTGCCTCCCAGTACTCTGAAGACCAAATAAGATGGCAATTGTAAGATGCTGGCCCAACGACTGGCTCCAAGTAAGCAAACAAATGTAATTCTCCCTGCTCACTTTCACCAGAACCTTTGTTTCTCCTGATTCTCTAGTTTTTCCACTGTGTTCAGTTGGCCATCATTCACTTGTCCCCAAACCTCAGTGTCATACATCATGTGAGTGGATTATTTGAGCATTTGTCATATGGTTTCAAGTATTAATCATTCTAGATCAGATGCCATGATTTGTCAATCTGTCTGTAAGCTTCTTGAGGGTAGAGCTTCCCATTTATAATTTAGGAAACCAAAAAGTAATCCCAAATCCACTTTTCTTAATCATCTGAAGAACTTTGCATCACACTTTGCTCCTACACAGTGGCAAGTGAATATTTGAAAAATATTTGATAAATAGAGACAGTGTTCCCAAGTAGTACCCCTGAGCTTGAGAGAATTTAGGAGTGTAGGCATGCAAAAGTAGATTTTTCCACACACATACAAATCCTTTACAGTTTTAACAGAAAGAAGAAAACATAGTTATCCCTTTCTTTAATCTGTATTGACTGAGCAACTAATCTACATCCCATTCTGTGATTAGTGTTCAGGATGCAAAAGTGAATCAGAAAAATATTCACAATCTACTGTGATAAGTCTGAGACGGAGGCATCCAGGTCGAACATGGGGAATGCAGAAAGACATATGGCGCAACAGTGAGCATCTGATATTTTTCTACCAGTATTTCCTTCCCCTATCTACTGGTCAGAGCACATCCCTACTTTGAAGAGCTAAATATCTCACTGTCAATGTATTAATAGTTCATAGCAGTCATGTGGCCTGGACTAATTATAATCCCTTCACCTTGACCACAGTCACTGGCTCCGACAAGGTGTGTATGATCCAGAGTAGTCCAGTTAGAATTCCTGGAGTTCATTCCTGGAAATTTATAAACAGATGCTAATGGAAGATCTCTCTTTCCTCTGGATGACTGAGCTTGTCTGTTATAAGCCACAAGCTATATGCTTTTTGCTCTCTCCAGACTACTCATTGCATGGAAAGACTCTTCATGGTATAAGAAAATAAAGTGAATCCATAGGGTGAAACAGCTTAATAGAGATGAAGAAAAACAGGCTCTGGATAATTTTTAAGTACCTAGAGTTCTCTGAGGCCATCTGTACCTTTGGATCTTTCCCAATTACATGAGCCAATAAATTCTCATTTTTGCCCCAAATTTGAATTTCTTATGCAGACAATTTCATATAGCTATTTCATTACTTTAAATCTGCACAGATTTTTGTACTATTTCAAAACTATTCAGACACATTATCTCATGAGAATTTCAAGACAATATTGTGAAATTGGTTGGTATTGTATGATGATTCTGTTTTAATGAAAAACTGAAATCGGAAAAGGAATGATCCAGTTGAGGTTGGTCAAGTTAATTGTGGGGTAGAAGCAGAGAGAAATGAAACTTTCTCATATTTAGGACATGGTACTTAGCATATTCACCTTGAGACCTGATTACCAGACCACACATTGACGTGTTCACTCCTGACATAATTAGTTAAATGAGATCAATTGCAATGTCCTATTACTCCCTGCCGAGAAAGTAGAATAGGCCTTAGTTGTTCCTTCCACATTGTTAATACTATGTAGGTTTACCCTTTTATTCTTCTTCTTAGTTTTGTGTTAATGTAACACTTGCTACAATGCGATGTCTCAGTGTGTGAATACCACGTGCGATGATTAAATCAGGGTGATTAGTATACTCATCATCTCAGTCATTTGTAGCATTATATACAGTAACTTGTTAATCAGTCTCCCCACTGTTTTTGACATTGTTTCCATTAATCCACAGTCCCCGGTCCCCTTCTTGCCCCTGCGTGCTCATTCCCAATGTGTAGGAGGTATTCTACCTCTCTCTCCTTTATGGGGTTATTTTTTCCCCAATTTCTATATATGAGGGAAACTATGTGGTATTTCTCTGACTATATTGGGCTTATTTTACTTAGTATATATTCCAGTCTTGCCCATTTAACCTTAAATGGCTGGATTTTGTACCCTTTAATTTTGTTTTCTTTTTCTTTTGCCAGAGGACACATGTGCTCACCAGAGAGAAAAAGAGAGAAGCACCCCCACCCATAGGTTGTGGTCTTATCTCAACCCTCTTACCTCTATTTCTCCATTTCTGTCAGGATATCAGGATCCTGAGCATGTACATATATTCCTGTGCTTGGAGCATTTTTCAAGCTGCCGAAGCTGGGATTCTAATCATAGTCAGCCTTGAGAGATCTGGTTCCCAAAACACATCAATTAACCATTGTGTCACAGGACTGGCCTAATTTTGTCCTTTTCAGTGGCTGAATAACATTCCACCTGTGTGTGTGTGTGTGTGTGTGTGTTTGTGTGTACACACATTTTCTTTATTTATCTGGTAATGGACACTTAGACTGCTTCTATATCTTGCCTATTGTCAATAGTGATGCAAAAGAAAAAACTGAGGAGCAGATATCTTTGTGTCGTACTGATTTCCTGTCTTTTGCAAATATGCCTAGTAGTGGGGTTGCTGATCACATGGTGGTTCTATTTTCAGTTTCTGAGGAATCTCCATATGTTTTACATAACAGCTGTACTAATTTACATTCTGTGGCTTTATTCTTACTCTAGCTCTCACTCATAAATATTCTACATATCTATATATCACACATATGAGACACATCTATATGGGATTATATATGAGAGGGAAATAAATAGGCATGTATATTGCACACAGCATGATGTATAAAATGATAATATTTATTCTATGTTATACAAATACTATATGTAAATATATAGATATATAAATATGAGAGTCTTCAAAAGTTCATGGAAAATAAAGATTATGAAGAGACTATGCATGGGCTGGCTCCATAGGCTAGTGATTAACGGAAACTGGATCCAACATAGCTGACCGAGATTTGAATTCAGGATCTAAGAGCTTTAAGGACATGCCACGCACACATGAGTGCCTGCCCCACCTCCTGACAGAAAGGAGCATTGGAGAAGGGCTTGTGTTGTAACCACGCCCTAGTGAGGAGGTGCTCTTTTTTTCTCTCCTTTCCCTGTCTCCCTCTGGCAAGTGCATGAACCCTCTGGCAATTAAAAAAAAAATAAGAAGCTACACATAAATTTATTTCAAAAATGCTTCACACCAAAATAAACTTCTGCTTTAATTCCACTTATTCATTAACTTTTTAAAGTCCTCTGTAATGCATAACTTTATATAAAGACAGAGTGTGTGTATGTGTGTGTGTGTGAGTGTGTGTGTGTGTGTGTACTGTCATTCTTACTCAGACAATTATTTTTAAAAATATATTTCAGTGTGTTGATCATAATCCCCTAAACAGGTTCTGGTGCAAATGTTACTTACTAATGAGACCTTCTTTTGTTGCCAAAATATGACCTGTTAGCCTTAAACTGAAGCTGGTTGAGGCAATGAGATCATATTACATCAGACTGACTTTAGGTGTGGTGCAAGGTTTGAAATGTAAATACATGGTTAATTTTAGCAGTGCTTCTGAAAGGCGAGGTGAGTCTTTTGTTTCCTGAACAGCTCAACCTCTGAGTTTGTGGACATTCTTGGGGTACTTTGGCAGTCTCTGACAGACCTCTGTTGAAAACAGGCCAGTTACCTGACTGCAAATGATGTCCAAGTGCTTTCGACTGACCTCAGCCCTGGAGAGGAGCTGGTTGAAAACAAAGCTTGCTATTGATCCATTCTTTCAAATAGTCTGTCTTCAAATCTTTTATTAATTAGACTGT